GAATTTTAATTTCCCACGTCGTCGGCAGACCCAAATATTTATCAATATTTTTTTTTATTGCTGCGGATTTTACCTTACTATATAGATTCAGACAGTGGATATAGTGTAACAATAACGAAATCAACGTGTAACTCACGTTTTAACGTCTGCTATTGGAGACGGCCGACCGTTTAAGTACAAAATACAAAATCGCAGGACGGTGCATTGCCGGGATAGGTCGGGCACTTTCAACGATAACGAGGCGGGCTGTGAATTTCAATCGGCGGCAACCCTATTAAGAAGTTCACCCCTGCCGACGACCGTTGCGGCGGTTCACTGATGATAATCATGTGGAAACGTTTAATCGACAAAATCGAATTTGAACAAAAAAATTCAACAACGCTTAGCCGTTGCCCGACGGTAACGTACGGTCGCACTTGTGGTTTTCGGAAGACTACCGTGGTTTTGAGTCCGTATAACATATTGCACACAGCGAACCGTGATAATATAATTATTATTGTTATCGTCTCTCCCGTGGTCCTCATTCTGGTGTACATATGGGTTTCGTGTGTAATGTGGGTGCGCGCACCTGTTAATGAGCGCGTTGTATTTTGTTTTTTATAACGCGCCAGCAAGAATAACATATTACATACATTAGTGGTAGTAGTAGCAGCAACAGGACGGGGCTCAGAGTCAAGGTACGATGAGCACGAGCGATCGGATAAATGACAGGCGAGCGCACGCGCACCTTTTGAACCAGATAAATGTAACGTTATAAACCGAGATGGATAGACTGTAAAGCTAGCCCGTCCAGTTGAATTCTAATTATTAATTGCTATTTATGCGCAACACTCATTGATGGAACTCTGCAGTCAGCTGTATGGCGTGTAAACTGTGCTATCAATGAGTGCGCATCAGTGTCTTAATGTAACCAGTAGCTCCGCTATACTTGGCGAAGATGTATCCTTCTTTCGTGTGTCCTTCTATACCAAAAAATAATGCAACTTATTGGCTCCGTCCATATTGATTTAAAATATGATCTATGATAGTATGTGTGAACAAGTCATAATATTCCAAATACACCATTGTGTGTGTCTAAAAAGTACTGAACAAAACGCACGCGGTTATATTTAATCAACGTTGTAATATGCGGTCATGACACAACCGACCGTTTACTCCCTAATTCCGGGTCCAAATACAGCTGGCAGAGTTTCAACGGGCAAATATTATGTAAAAACGCTAAATTACATTTTTTGCCCGCTTATTGTCAACCTCGTTTGGCCGAAAGAAAGTATGTAAAATATCATCCTCATATCCGTGGGTATTGATTCATCTGAACTCATGCAAATAAAAAATTAAGTATTATTTTCAATTTGAACCCTTAACCCAACACTTCCCATGTTTCTAAATACTGATTTTTAATGGAACGCCGCTCTTAGACGACCACCGTCTTTGTACTGTATTTTTGTGATCTGCAACACATCTCGAGTACCTTTGCCCTTGCGTACGGGATCCTCTTGCGAATTGGCCAGAACTGGCTTGGACACAGTATAATGACCGATTGCGGTTAAGCGACAGAAACGTCAATTTATTGTTTTGGCCCGATCACAAATTAAACGGAAATATTATTGCGTCGACCCTTCTGGTACGGCCTTTTGACTTTCTACAACCGTGTTGTTATTATTATTATTATTATTATCGTCGTTGCCGTCGTCAACATCGTCATTAATTGTCGGATCGATTGCCGGCGGAGCTGTTGTTGCGGGACATAAATTAATTTTATGCACAACTTAACGACCTTTTCGATTGAATGATCAACAAAGCCAAACGTGCGTCGTTTTATATTATCTATAATACGATTACACAACGCAGTCACTGTTAATTGCATGTTCCGATGTGAAAAAATAGACGCCATTTTAAACTTAAGTCAAATTCACATTTGACAATAATATAATTATGATCCCAAATAGGAAAAATGCAATACGTAGTATATCTCCAGAATTTTGTCTTGACTGTTACCTTTTAAAATGCATTACCATTTATTTTACATTTTGGACACAAGGCCAAGGTGAGCATACAGAACCGTGCTAAAAAACTCCATAAATAAAAAAATAACAAACAATCCTAATGGGTAATGACGTTACCGACTATGGTTTGTGGTTTTTGATTCATGGTATACGCTATCATTCCATTCTCTGTTTGTTTCTTCAATTCGAAAACCAAGACGAGAAAAACTTTTTCACTAATAAAATATTTGATATTATATATGTGTTCCGTTATTGGTAATAAATACCATTGCCTAGTATACACTACAGAGTCTATACGATCAGGAGTTACCGCAAAGTTTGTATTTTACACTCGCATTTATATTATATACAAGCAGCTATTAAATATCAACTCTTTATGTCCCCTACCGCGGTTTTATAAGAAACTACTCGTTTACATAAGGAATATCTTGCACAGCCATTGAAATACGATTCTGGTTTTCAAGTTGTGCATTAATAATGCAGCTCGTTCCATTGGAATCCGCCAAAATCCCTTAACGTCGTCTATGCTCCAGTCTCTAATTGAATTACACGCGGGCGCCAACCCAAAACCTTATTCATGTACACCATATACACACTATACATGCACAGGGTACATCTTAAATATATTTAACTTCTATTGCTTAGAGTTATTATGGGATACACATTAATACTTCTGAGGAAATCATTTACTTATGTAATTTTATAGTATCTTTAGTTAGGCGATAAAATTATAAGTGGCCACAGACTTTCTAAAAATGTCTAATTAAAAATAATATTTCACACCCTTTTCAGGGTTAATCACTAACAATACACTCATCGTTTAGTCAGAAACACGATGTGAACGATTCAAGCAATCGCGTATGATTAATTTTGATAGGTTTTTTTGCCACTTAAATTTCCCCATTTATACACTCTGCCTGGTGGTCTAAGGAACACAAAAATTATAGACATTCGATATACACCATGCATAAACGATCCTAAGAAGAACCACCGCGCCGGTGTTCAACGACCTCGGACCGACACCGTCGATTTCATAATTTCTACATTATATTAAAACGTTTATCACGATAATACAATGTATGCATATGTATAATACAGTGCATATATTTAATTGCGCGTATAATTTCTAATGCGGTTCTCTAGCACAGAATGCGCTGTTATACTTTCACCTTACCGCACCAGTTATGCGAAGGCTTCGCAGAGCATTCCTCGTAGATCATAATATTATTATTCCAAATGAAAAGATACATCACGAGCATGCGGCTCGTGTTATAAAACAACTTATTCGGTTGATCACATCCAATTGGGACTACATAGATCTAGCGGTTGCGCACAAAAAAATTAGTAATATTGGGAAGAGCCGTAGAGGATAAAAAACGGGATACAACGCTGTCTACAAGGAGATTGTTTTGGTTAGGTTAAGTCTTATCGTTGATTACAAGTAGTATTTACAATCAATGGTTGTACCATTTTTATGAAAATATTACTACGTTTGCAGTACTATTATAATTTAAATGTGTTATTTTTCATCACAATAATACTATTACATCGACAAGGAGACAGTAGTTTTTATACAAGCACCTCCACTAAAATTGGTCTACTTTTTCCGCATTATTAGTTCTCCTTTGACTTTGATATTAAGTACTTTTTTTTTTTATAAAAAACAAGTTAATATTTGTTTTATCGTAATAAGTACTTAGTTCAGTTGGCGTTCATCAATAACTAAATGTATCTCCGGAGTGTAACAGCATATTGTTATACAAAATATTGATCAGAAATATTTCCAGAAAACAGATTGAAAGAAAACAACTATTCGTATTATAATGTAAATGAGCTTACCAAGAAACTACCGCGAGTAGTTTTTTTTTTAATCTAAGAGTAATTTTCTTCTTTGAAACCGTAACATTATTTTCGCAGTTTTGTGCGGTTTTTTTGTTAACTTTTGATTTTACAACGATGTACTTTATGATCGACGCTGTTGATACATAATATTATAATGTAGCCAAGTGATCCGTCACTGACATCGGACGTACTATTTCGAGAATAAGACATTATTGACGTCTGGAACCGTCTGAGGGAGTAATTATTGTTTTCAATAGTCTGCCCAACGAGTTTGTTAAACCAAGCGTTGGAGCACACCGATTGGAAATCCGTTAACAACTGTAATTAATCAACATAATAATTCTGAAAACGTCACAAAGCCTTTGTGTAAATATTTTTTTTTTTAAACCCCAACTGGTACTTCTGAGTCGACGATGACTATGATGTTATTACCCAGTCAACACAAACAAAAATATTGAACATATGTAAACGCACGATTAAGTCATAATGTTTGCTCCTGTGGAATAATAGCAACGATTCATTCGGTCGATGGGCTATGACAAATTATTGATAAACCAACGACGTTATGCAGTTTTATATTTTGTTCACGACCATGTTGTTACGTTTAACCGCGACCGACTGATTACAATAGTTAAAGAGCAATGTTTCTTGTACACTTATGTATAGGTAGGTACACACATTTCAATGAACTCGCCGTACAGTGGGCGCATGATATTGCGCGTTCGGTTCCAATGAACCCGCCCGTCTGTCCGGCTACATAATATTATGCGACTTGTTGTCACTGCACAAGTACTATATAACATCACATATACGTCCTATCTATGCGAATGTATGTAAAGCCAGCAAACGACACGCGATATCCAAGTTATTTATATGAATATAACACAAATAACGAACAAATTTGTTAATAAATTTAAAAATCACTAGTGTGGGTCAATAAACGGTAAACGACAAGAGACGTGTCTTGTTCCTAGTCAAACCACCCTGTTAAGGTGCAACAATATGTATTATCAGCTCCCGGGGGACTGATAGCAGGGAAATATCGACCAAATGGTCGCATTGTTTGCTGCGAATGATGCAACGCGACCACGTTATTATTGTCGTCAATGTTATTATTACAGATAGGTAAATATTTATATATTATGTACATACCTTGTGCAGATCGCTGAGCGCTAGCGTGGGCTGCTGCTGCGCGTTGGACATTGCGTCCTGTGTTCCTGTCATACTGCGACCGGCATGTCGGGCTGGTTAACCTGTAACAAGAAAACACCGTCGTTATTATTGTTTTTGTTATTGCTGTGTACAACTGCATGGCCGTCGAAAAATAAAACTAAATAAATAATAATATTATTTACTACTATATTTAGACGAAAAACAAAAAGTCCTAGGACGGGGAATGATGGACACAGTGTAATAGTACTGTGAAAGGCCGACCGACCATATATAACGAGGAACATCCGATAATATGTACACAACTTATTATTATTATTGTTAAACAAAGGCCGCGGCGTCGAATCCGATTCTCTTTTAATATCGGTGAAAGCATCTGAGACTGGGATAATGATATTATTTTGTTTCTTTGAAAATCTTTCCATTTTTTTGACCCTTAAGAAGTTCAACGTTTTGGCGGCTGCAGCATATATATATATATATATATATATGCTGACGTAGGTTCACTCTATCCCCCGAAAGTTGTTGTTTACATACGGCGGCAACGGCGAGGCGAAACCGAGTTCCAGTAAGTCAGTCATCTTAGTATTATTATTTTTAGTGGCCTACGGGCTTCTCGACCGGAGTGGTGTTTTAAAGATTACATTCGGGGATAAACTTTTGCGGCGGTCGTCAACAATGACTGTTTACTCGGTTACACCGAAACAATATTATTAAAATATACATTAAATATTATTATATATTGTATAAAGTTTACATAAACGATGGCCGGGATATTATTATATTATATTACAATACAATATTTTGGGCAAGCACTCGATGGCCACTCAACCCGACTTCTAATACATTTTCCGAATGCGTTTCTCGAAAAGGTATCGTCCAAGTGCACTTCAAGTTTTTGTTTTTTTTTTTTTAAATTTATTTTAAATAAGTCAGATCGTGGTTAAAAGATCACATAATATATTGGTTTTATTCAATGCATAATGCATTGCTATGAATAAACTTCACAAAAAAAATATACATATTAGTTCACAATTTGCCGGAACCAACTAAAACACAAATTTTTTAAACATACAAATTAAGTAACATAAGTATATCGCCAGTCAAATAACCTACCTATTAGGCCGAGGTAAGCTTCGAACGTACTCTTAGCTCATATCGATAATTTTAATGTAATATTATTTTATTTGAGAAAATTGTACTTTTTAACTATGTAACTGAATTGTTGTAATTTGTAATTAAATACAATTATTTTTTTAGTAATTTACCCACCCATTTATACAATAGTACATTGGTACCAACGTTAGTTGTTGTTTATTTGAGTCATTGGTCGAATCGTTGATACTCCAGTAATAAGAGTAGGTATATATATATTATAATAATAGCTAACTGTTATGTCTTTACACGCATGTAGTTAGGTATAGTATAATAGTTGCCGGCAATTTTTTTACCATAATATATAATTGGTTGAAATCGGCAGACAGACAGTCGCCACATCAAATCGTTGCTTGTGCTGCAGTGTGCGTTCCATTAAAATAATTTTTATGTGTTGAGTAAGGCGAGTCGAAGGCGCCGTTTTTGTATTGATCACGATTCGTTCGGATTTCATTGCCGTCGCAAACGTATTAAATGTGTGTTTTTTTTTTCAAGACTTTCACGTTATGATATTTTTTATAAAAATGTTGAACTACGACCAGGGTCATGTAAATCACGATACGGCCACGGTGTGATAGACGAATAAATCAACTGCGAAACGCGAGAGAAACGCGTCAACAGGCAACCGGTTAAACCGCGGATCAATAACCGACCAACGAGAAAAAAAGCTCTGCCGACGTTCGTCATCATAGAGCTGGATATGTGATATGTTTTTAAGATGAAATTATCCCTCATTAATATACATTACTCTGAACAGACCTACCGCGGTACCAGACAAACATTACCACGTCCGCACACTGTACCAACTCCAACCGAAAATATCAATATATATATAGTTATATTTTTCAATATTAACTAAAGCGCATTATTTCTCTACTTATTTTATGTTCCGACCGTTGTGAGAAAACGTCTCGTTAATAGAAAAATATTCTTATTATTAACACACAACACACCTATGACATCGGTGGGCTAAGTTCGCGGGTGTGTGTCAAAGATCACGGCGCGCGTTGGATGTGGAATGTCCATATTATCATACTTATGGTTGCACAACACTACTTAATGTGCACGGATCTTGGGGAGTGGAAACGCAGTACTGTGTTCGTTTTCACTGCATAATAAATTATAGAAAACGACACATGTCGGCCACAGCCCTAAGATCGGCGACTTCACGTTGTAAGTATGTAAAAAAAATAATTGAATCTCGTTCCCTTCCCTTGTCCAAGCCTTTCCCTTACTGTATAAAAAAAAAAAAAACGTTTTACGCTGGATAATAAAACCATATAGGTATGACGTCCGCTAGGTTTAACGAATTTAATCAAAAACAATTAATGATCCCGTTAATTTGCCAAACCTGTCTGGCACGGCCAACATATTTCATTGATAATAAAATGAACATAATAGAATAGTATTTTAACAATGTATACACTAAGTACTACTTTCTAGTATATTAGCCAATTTTTTTTTTTTATATGACTGCTTCTCGTAGCCGAATTATCTTGAACGTAGCACAAAAAAAAATCAAAACACAATTTTCATCATTTTGTCGAAATCGATACACCGCAATCACCGTTAACCCGCCGCTCCAATAGATCAGACCAGATTCCAGACCGTTAATTGCCGCCACCACCGCCGTCATCCCGAATTCGTTCGACCGGAAAACACAAGCTTTACAATTTATTACAGGGTAGACGAATTCGAGGAAAAAGGCTAAGTACAAATTATATATATATATATTAACGTCCGGTCACAGAGCACATACCGCGGATTCGTTAAATTTCCAACCGAGAGTGCGGTCTGTGCAACAGCCAACCGTGAGAACGTGGTCGAGAGAAATCGCCTAATACAGCGATTAATAACGTTTAGAGGTTTTTTTTCTCCACACCTATAAATTGGTATAGCGCTATCCGCTATAAGAACATGGTATAATTTGATTTGGGTCCAATCGTATGTATAATAATACGACTTAATACTAATAAGACAGTTACAACTGGGCGAATACTTGAATTATTTAGCAACCGCTTATTAGAATAATTATAAGTAAAAATAATACAATAATTGTATTTATGCTTTACAAAAAAGAAAATAGAACTTAAAAGTCTTATTTTTTCCTATAGATCTAAGATAACAAGCTTAAATATGGATCGCGACACATAATGATATTCTTTCAACGTAGCCTCCTACAGTGAAATAAAGCGAAGAGATCTGTTACCCAATTTTAGTTAATTTGGGTAATCCCTCGAATTTTCCCTTATTTCACCATGTTTTTTAATGCTATTTATGTTGTAAAATTACCTTAAGGATACATTTAAATTCTTTAGGGTGACGCCAATGCGGGTTCTAATAATTGAATAAAAATGAGCTTTTAGATAATGGAAAACTTATAGAAGAAGTTGACATTATCTAAACTATAAAAAACTGTGATTAAAAAGTATTCACTACTGTTGATAGACATATTTTGAAGAACTGAGATTGAAATTTACAAATTACTCGAGTTATTCAATTAAAATAATTTAACTACTACCCATCCCTGTAGCGCGTGTTCGATTATTATGATAGTTATTTTTTTTCTTTGCTTTGTTTTTCAGGTTTTCCATTTATTATTTAATTGTATACATTTGAGCGTTGCTATAACGTGTAGTAAATCGTGTATGTGAAACAATACTGTAAAACAAAGGTCGGTCGAACTTTTATGCAACGGTTGTACTTTATGGACGTGACAAGGATTGTTGGAATATTTTCCAAGATGTTCCGTGTAGAAAGTAAAAGCTTGTTAAATAAAAAATAACACGAAGCACGGAGGAGGTTGCAAAAGGAATACGGACCAATGTACTTGAGAAAAATTTCTCCCTTTCGTTTTCGGAATAATTGCCGGTTCGGCGAGACTTGTGCACTACGGTCGAAGGAGAGGGGTCATGCAAACATCAGCCATAAACAAGGTCAGTAGGCTCGGGGAGCGACAAGACAGCGGTGTTATGCCCGACGAAACCGGTTTTTTATTCGTATCAACACAGCGACATTCCTTTGGCGAGGAGTGTAAGAATATATTATTATTATCGTTTCTGGTAAGCGCATTTCTTTTTAGTCTATACTCAAAACTGTTGCGGTGTCTCAAATAAACCTACTTTAACCGTTATGCCAGCTCCTATGCATATAAACAAGAGCTGCCTATTAATTAAACGGTAAAGTCCTGGCCGCGGCCATCGACCAGTGACCCCTCGACGAATGTGATTCTCAAATTCCACGATGAACTGACCTTAACCTTGCGACTCGCACTTGAAAAACATCATAACGAAGACCTCAGTACGCTATAATTATCGTTACCGTGATTGCTTATTGATCGACTGAATAATAGAGTTCTTAATTTTATATGCGAATAAACGATTCGACTAAAAGGCCGTCGCTTCTTTTTATTTCAATTCCGTTGTAATCGATTTGATTTCCACCGAATGAGTATTTTACACAGTAGTATAATGCTGCCTGTAATTTTTAGCAAACTACCCGGAAAAATCCTCTTCCAAGTTGTAACGTCAATTCAACGATCCGACATGTAGAGAACACAACGATAATTCAAACCTTTGATAATAGTATATTAATGGACTTGAGATTCAGAAACAGATTTCAAGGTCATTGGGGTTTAATCTCCGGGATAAAGTCACCCCCGGTCGGCCCGACCATAATTTATTCATGGTAGAGTTATTTCGGATTAAAAGCCAACAAGGAGTTGCAGCGAGAAGAAAACAAAATTATGGATCTGTAATAATGAAAAATAAAATACTTAATGATATAATAATATTCAATCTGATCACGAGTTGTATTATGCGTCAGCTGCTGACCGTTAAAAAAACAGACCCTAGTGATTGTTTTTTTTTTTTTTTATGGTAAAAATACAAAGTAGGAAAATTTAAATTACAAAGATTGCGAAACAACG